GACAGCTCATCCATAGGACAGGGGAGTGGTGGGGGAGTGGGGCCAGCTCCCCACTGCTGCATGCACTCTTGTGGGAGGCAGGGAAGATCTGTGCCCCCAGATCTATGCACGGGGCAGGGGCAGGCTGTCCACTGCAGGCTCCAGCTGCCTGCCCTCCCCTGGGGCCTCCACAGCCCAGCAGGCGGGATGTGACATGGCAGGGCAGAGTGGGGCCAAACAGGGAAGTTGCTTGCCACTGCAAGCTCTGTGCTGTCCTGGTGATGCACCCCCTGCCTGCTCCACAACAGTGAGGGGCACAACCTCACACAGCCACGCCCACTGCTGCTGGATGGGTGGGGGGGCGTGTTGCCAGGGCAACATGGAGCTCACAACAGCAAGGAGCTTCCCCACCTAACCCCACTCTGCCCTGCCGCACTGGGTCCCACCCACTGGGCTGCAGAGTGCAGGGGGAGGGCAGCTCTGCACATAGACTGGAGGGGGGGCATGTGCCACCCCTGTCCCCCCGTGGAGTGTGAGCAGCAGCAGGGAGCCAGCACCCCCCCCCGCCCGAGCTGGCAGCAGGCCTCTGCTCTGGCCCTGCTGCTGATGGGGGTGGGCAGGAACCGGGTTTCCCACTCAGGCCACAGCAGCCTCTGCAAGTGGCATCCAGGGCTCAGGCGCTGCTTTGGGGGGCAGGGGCCTGTGGACTCGGGTCCCTGGCCCCATAGCCCTGGCAGCTAGAGGCTCCCTCCAGCAGGGCTGGGGGAACCAGGGGGCTGTGAGTTGGGGGTGAGGTGCACCAGCAGGGCCAGGGGGCTGTGGGTGGGGAGTGAGGGGCCTGGACCTGCATCCTGGTGGTGATCTAAGGGGGCAGAGGGAGCTCTGATATTCCATGATAAAAAACCCCAAAATCAAATACCAAAATGTATAGGTACTTAACTTTTATTTTACTATAGTGACTGAGGCATTAATAAGCTTCCAAATTACTTTAAAATTGTAAATATATCAAGAAAATATTGTGTTTAATTAGTGGTGTTTCATTTTAATTGCAGATTTCGGGGTTTTTAATCAGAGAATCTGTGATTTTTTTTTTTTTTTAAATCAGAGAATGTGCGATTTTTTTTTAGCAGGGAAAACCAGGATCCCTGGTAATAACGTATATATTTATTCATACAGAGAAATTCAGCAGGCCAAACTCTGCCTTCAGGTACAGAGACACTACTGTTGAGTTCTTAGAGTCATATGTAGGATTCCACTGAACAGAACCTGGCCTGGCATCTCTTAAATTAATATTGGCAGTGCAGCTTGACAACAATATATAACATTATGTACAATACAAAATAGCAATGTTTTACAAAACATATTACAGTGATTTCACTCCATTTTCCCATGTGGACATCCTAGCAAACATACTTCTGTGGAAAAAAAGAAAAACATACAGTAAATGAGGGAGCACAAAAAAATAAATAAATAAATAAATCACAGGATCAATACTTACTTCACAGTACAAACTGAAGTTAATTAGCCATACTGTGTGTACCCAGTGTACAGCTCTACTCACATCAGAAGCCCCAGAACAGAGTCAAGAAAGGGGTTCAGGATATTCCCAGTAGGGGGAAAAAGGCAGTAACTCTGAAAGAGCCAACACATCCTACTATCTCAACTGATACTACACATAAAACACCGGTGTAAATGTCTTTTGAAATGCATCTGGGCAGACATGATTATTGCCTTCTTTACATTTGAAGGACAATCAAGTTACTTGTGTCCTAGAAAACAATTGTTTTTCCAGAACACGTAGCTTTTCCTTTTTAAAAGGTGTTTTACATTTCACAAAAGAAAAAGAAAGCTCTGATGCTGACATAAGGTAGTTTACTGTAAAAGCCTAGCTGGTCTGTGACTAGCTGGGCTGTTTCCAGCATACACCAGTTGCTACAGCGAAGCAGGCTACTGGCCTCTTAGACTTAGGTGGAATCTCTTCCATTGATTTTGAAAGGAGGATTGAGCTGTATGGTAGTACCTGCTATCAGCTGCTTCAGTGAACAGTGTGCAAAAAATAAGTGTGTGTAATGTTTGTAATTAATTTGGCTACTAATGGTAATTTTTTCCTTTTTAAAATTCCTTTTTCATGTCTTTCTAGAATACAAAGCCAAGCCTTACAGCCTTCACTCTCAATGCAATGCTTTCATTGACCACAAAGCCCAAAGGAACAAAATATGAGGCAAACTAAATGGAGTCAAGAGGAGGAAATGACCAGCAAACAGAATACTCAGACTTGTGAAATGTCATAAAATACAAAATTATCTTCTGGCACTGTCTTGTGATAAAGAATTCCTTCCTTAACACAAGATCTAATTGGTTTGCATCTGGAGCATATCAACTTGTCACAGCAATGATAACCAGATCCTTTGCGAAGTAGAAGAAACTAATTCCTACTTGTGTACGTAACCAATTTTTTACCAAATAGCTAGGCATACAGAAACCACACCCATCCTATTATGCCACCACAGGGGTGTTGAGTGCAGTATGACTCAGTCCTCAGTGACTGGAGCAAAGTTTTGAAAGAAGTTTGAGTAGTATAGACTTTAATTCTGAGAAGCCTGGTTGTAATCTTTTGAATGGATGTATTTACCTCTTCACGATGGCAGCACATCTCATACACTCCACCGATAAAGCCATTGATGACTTGGATGGAACACAGAATGAACTCAATTCCCCCCAGGAACAGAAGAATGGAAAAGAGGGTCACGTTCCATTCAACAATGTTTCGTGGCTCCTGGCACTCAGACCACCTGTTCCGCTCCAGGAGGTACCTGTTCACATCAAATTAATGATATGTTAGAAATTCATGCCTCCATGAAGAGTGTAACTTTACTAAGAGGTGCTTAATAAACATCAGGAATGCAACTGCAATCTGGGCCTAATTCAAGTGCCACTATTATTTTAACTTTGGTGGAGCAGAAGCTTGCTTCATGCTAAATATGCAATGCTCTGCAATGCAGGCGTAAGATTCTTTTTTTTTTAAATCAAACTAGAGAGCTGAATTCAGTCAGGCCTAGGTGAGAGCCGGGAAGGAGTGGTTTTAGGTTGTAGAAGTAGATTTATTCCCTTCATTCTGGAGTTTACCAAGGACTGATCTCATTTCTAGCCTCAAGGCTGCTATCAATAATGCCTGGCTGGCCACAGCTATTCCTGCTTTTCTCCTGGGAATGGCCTTTAAGGCTTGAGCCTAGGTATGGAGATAGCCCTTAAGCAAGGGCCTTAGGTGGAACATGGGACTCTGGAACGAGTTGTGGGAGCTGAACACTTCTCAGATGAGTCTCAGAATCTCTCAGGCTTGGGCCCTCATTCTTCAAGCTAGTGATTGCTAACCTAAGCAAACTTCACCGTTTGTTGATGTATTGTGTGTCATCCTCTGGCATTTGGAAACATGCTTTGGAATTGCTGACTACAAAGGCCTAAAATAGATTCCTGCAGCCACTATGCACCCATATCCTCACCTTACAAGCACTAAACACCAATCAGTAAGGGTTACACAGCTCATCATCTCCTTTCTGTGTCAGTAAAAGCTAAAGAGTCATAACAATAGTGCAGCTGTGTCCTAATTAGAGTACCTCTGCTACAGTGAAATCTGGCTGCACTTTCTTGATTCTCACACTGGGCCTATGAAGACACCAGCTATGAATTACAATTACTGGAAATGAGATTATTCAACCATCAGCTGGGCACTGCTGGATTCTGACCAAAGCCTCTCTCCACATTTTCCTGTGACTAATTAAAGTGGCATATGACTCCACTACCCTTCCTCTGTTAGCAGGGGACTCCCAGCTTTCTAGCACCTTAGTGCCACTGGAGAAAAGGGAATGAAACCCTAAATCCTTTGCACCTTTTCTGATGGCGCTCCCACCAGTTCTGTACCATTGTAACCATCAGAAACTTGCTACTCATTTACACTGAGGTAAAGTAAAACCGAATTAGACCCATTCATTCTACTGTTAGAATCATACAGCATGGTATTAAACCTACACCCCATTAAGATTTCTGTTAACTCATGAGCAAACCTTTGGGAAGTGGGCTACTGCAGGTTGCTTTTCAATTCCAATACCACTCATCCTGCACAATCTTTACAATTTAAAACCCAAACATATTGAGGTTCTCTTTCTAAGCTGATGATCAGCAGAGTCCTAGAAATATTTAATTGCTTACCGTAAAGCAGTGGGAATGTGGTATTAATTGACATACTGAATTTAGTTCATGGCATCTTAACCATTAAGCCAATAAAGAGTTTTGCACAGGTGGTGCTCAGAATTCCTAGGAAGGAGAGAACCTCTCATGCTAAAAGACAGCTGAAATTGGCCATTAAAAGGAACAGGAAATATTTTGGAGAGAGCTCAATATCCACCTTCTACAGAATATTATGGGTGAGGAAGAGTCCGCTGACCACCCAGGAAAATATTTTCACACTCTTATGGGTAGAGGCCCATATCCAGTAGTTGCCAAATAGTTTTTTTCCCCTCATAGTTCTGGCACTGGAAAGTTTGGGATAACCTTGAATCTCAGCCTATATAGACTGGAGAATTCTTTCCTCACTGGGAGGCCACCAGCTTTGGAAGACAAATAGATCACTGGAGAGGGACTGCTCTGTGGAAACACTTTACTGTAAGCCCAAGAAAAATTGTTTAGCAGCCACATATTGGTTTTGACTTGAGATGGCTTACTTCTACTGCTGTATCTCTCAGAACAGGAATCGCTGCATCTCAAGTACTACATCCCTACTGTACAGCAGGGTATTAGACCCTAAAAAAAACCTGATGTAAAATCATCACAGATATCCCTCTTAAGAGATGTGGACCTGGCACCCCTTACTTACATGAGAAGTCCTTTGCGGCCAGTGGAACTACTCATTTAAATAGGCAACAAATGATTGGGCCTTATCATTTACATCAGTGAGAATCACCCCCATATGGGAGTCAGGACCCAAACATAGGAGTCAGGCATATAAGAATCCTTCCCCTGGCATTCCCATGCAGCTGTCTGCAGTATGGCCACAGACAGACCACTTACTCTCCAGAGGAGTTATGGAAAGGATAGATCCAGGTATTTTCTGTGCTGGCCAAGCAGTAGGGCCCATGTGATAAACCCAGAGCTGAAATGATGATACAGTATCCAGAACCAAGGATTCCAATGAAGGCCGCCAGAACAGAGGACAGCATCTGCAGAGGGAACACAGACAAGTACTCAGCATTGTGACCACTCATCCTCCAGCCCATCCCAGAAAGCAGCAAGAAGGCTCACTTACAGCGCAGCTTTTCCCACAGTTCTCATGGCCGCCACACCCACAGCAGTTCTCATGTTCTAGGCTAATGAACACAGCAGCAGGGATGAATATCTAGATACAGACAAAAGGACATCATACCACTTTTGACTTAAGTTGTTGCATAGAAAGTGCAGATCAAATAGGATCCTCATTTTGTCTCTGCCTAGACTTTTTAAAAATTGCACATAGCAGATTCAGTCTTGCTCCCCTAACCTCAATGGCAGTTTTCCCACTAATCTCACCAGCATCAGGATTTGGCTCAGGAAGAAAGGAATTTCACACAGCATCTGACGGGATGGAATCCCGAGTCATGGCTGGTGACACACCGGTTACTACAGAAGAGCAGCAGCGGTTTGTGCCATAAAAATTCTCCCAGGACCAGTGCTTGCCAGTGGAAATGGGGGGAAAAAAATCTTTATGTAGAAAATGTTTTTTTCCTGAAGTTTTCCAATTCCAAAGCTCCTATGAAGACTGCATGCCAAAACCGCTCATCCATTTATGCATCTTGGACCTTCCATGGGGAGAATATTTGTAAAACAAACATTCAGACTTGTACATTTTCAGCATGAGGAAGTGGAAAGCCTGGCCTGCTAGATAAAACATGGAACTCCTGAGGTCTGTTCCTACTTCTGCCAATGGCCAACTCCAATGTTAGTTTGTGCATATACCATTATATACACATTATCCACGGATACATCACAAAATCCTTTGTGCAACAGACTTACCCTACAAATAAAATCAACCACAGAGTTGCTGTCTCAATTCACACCCAGGGCCCCAATGCTTCAAAGCCATATGCAGAGATGCCTAATGGAAAGCAGGCTCACTGAAGGTGATCTGAGACTATTTGCTCTATGTAAAGTTAAGCAGATCTTTTCCAGATCATACTCTGAAGCTCCACCTGGGCCCCACACAAGCACAGAAATCATCCTGTACAGGGGTCAGGGCCTAGAGTAGCAATATTGTGCTGTAAGGAAAACTTTCAGTTCTTTACAAGAACAACCTAAAAAGCCTTTGCTATTTGTCTAGCGTGCATGTTTGATAACAGTTTTCAAATTTCCCCAAAAAAACGTCTAGGACATGGTTGTAACCACAGTGTCTCCCAGGAACTCAGGTACCTATTGAAGGTATGATTGCTACTTTTCACCATACTTTTACAAAAGGAGAATATTTTCAATAGTAAACCAAAATGCAACCAAGTACACACATCAGTAGCTGTACTCACATGTGTAGTCTGATTCCACATTACTAACCTTATTTTGCATTTCTTTAGTCATCTAAACTGTGACTAAAAAATACCCACTTTTATATCATACCAAATGGCAGGTATGATTCCTTTTACTACTTCTTTTCATAGCACTGTATATTTATATGCTACTGATGATGAGTTCCAAAAGCTTGCTAACTATGCATTCAGACAAAACAGAAACCAGAGAGAAAAATGTAAATCTTGGGGTTGTTCAAAGAAACAAAACAGATAAGGAAAAAACCAGTAACAACTTACCAGGAGGCCGCCTCCTACAATGCCATGGAGGCACCGTGTGTACTTGCTAAGACGATATTCTGAAGCATACCTTGTTTCACCATTAGGAAAGTAAAGCAAAATGTTTGCCACCATGCAAAACACGGCAAAAATTAGCAGCTTGTATCCAATGCACTTAGCACACTTGCCAAAACACATGCTGGCACTTTTACAAATCTTTCTTGAGCAGCTCAGTAATACTACAGGCCAACCTGCGTGACACCCCTCTAATAGGAAAGAAGAAAAAGTCGAGTCTCACCTGCTTAAATACTCCGAGTTTCTTAGTTACCTGGATGATATTTACATGTGTACATGACTGTCAGTCCAGATTGCAGAACCCAGAAGCGAGAGGAGCAGTGTTACCACATTTTTAAATGACACGTTTGTTGACAAGCGAAACCCAAGGAAGGGAATTAGTCAATTGCCACAGCATTCATTGTTTAGCATGAGCAAGAGCAGACATGCTTAGGCATGAACAGCAGACATAACCTATGATGTAAGCTCTTCAGAGACTTGGAAAAAGTTAAGAGAAAGAGAACTTGAAACAGTTTCAAATTTTACATTTATAGACTGATTCAATACACATTTTTGAAAGCAAAGCATTCCTCTTTTCTGACCTGAAGAATGCTTTGCCTTCAAAAGCTTGTCTAACTTTATCCCAACAATACAGATGCTGGGCCAATAAAAGATAGCACCCCCAAAAAGATCCTTGCCTCGTAATCTGTGGACCAACACAGCTAAAACATCATTCTATCACTAACCATAATAGGTATGTACATACTAAGCCATGTTTTTAAACCCTTTAATTATTTTGGAGGTTGGTTTTATCTCGTTTGTTTGGGGGGTTTTTTAATACTCACATACAAGAATGCATGCAGTTACTGTAATAAAAAAAGGTCTTAAGTCAATAAACTTCAGAGTAAAATCCTGATTGCTTCACTTATGATTCTGTTCTTTGATTTATACACATCACTTCAATTGGGCTATTCATGCAAGTACTGCAAAGCAGGGCTTGAACTTTAAAAAGGACACAGAGAATATTCTTGTAAAGATATGGAGTCACAAGGTAACCCTCCGGGTATTGTAGCTATTGGCCTTGGAGACTTCCTCCGATACGAGAGAGTATCCTTCAATTGTCAGAAGTGTAAGCTTGAAGTTATTGTATGCATTACACCTTTGATTAATTTAAACCAAATGCAAACATCAATCTTCAGTTTTCCTCCACAGGAGAGTCGATTCTAACCAAATTAATCCTCAACTGAAAAATCCCTGTATTATGTTAAGTTTAAAAAAAATATGATCTCTGGAAACTAGATAAAATAACCTCACGTTTAAATACAGTTAAGATCTAATAGACTTATAAAACTGGGGATTTCTGTTTTTACTCTCTTTAATGGACCAACAAGCACTTGCTTAGATGCAAGGCGTTTCTATTGTGCTCCTGTCTGTCTCTATCCATTTGTTGTCTCTTGCTGCACACACATACATACAGCAGCCTGACCCCTAATCCAAGGGATGCAAAACACTGAGCTATAGGCTCCTTGTATGGCCTTGTGCAAATTCTTACATCTCTGTGCCAGCTTTGTCAACTGTAGGATGTGGATAATAATAGTAACTCCATCTGGCTTGGTCTGTTTAAACTGCGATCCCTTCAAGTCTCCTGACGTGTACATAAGGCATTTAGCACAAAAGAATCCCTAATCTAGGTTGAAGCCTTTAAGCACTATCATAATGGAAATAACAAGAAGGAAATGGGGATTTTATTACCCACAAAAATTAACTGCTTAAATTGCTTCTCACCCTCTGAGTCTAATTCCTTAACATGTGATATGCCCCTGTGACTCCTATTTGGATCCATGTGAGCCATTATGGGGGAATCATGAAATAATCAGAAAATCAGAGCCCTGGCTGTCTGCCCCAACCAGACATTCACCAGGCTGCTGTGTTTTGCTCCCACCTAGACCTAGATGCTCTGTCTCCTTGATTTCAAGTAAGCTCCAGCGCTAGCTCTTTCTTTAGCCTCCCTAGCAGACTTCCAGGGTACAGCTTCTGTTATCAGCTTGCAGCCTAGTGACCCAGTGCTGAATCCTTACTCCACTGTAGCACACTCTTTAGCAGCTGCAACCTGTGGGCTCCCTGGGTTTACAGATCAGGAAGGTGCAATAGTGGAAGCAAATCAGTTTTGTTAAGATCCCATAAATCAATAAGATCTAAAAGAAACAACAATACTTCTGTACGCATTTCCCTGCCTAACTTTCTCACCAAAACTGAAAGTTCTTGGACTGCAGTTGGACTGCTCTATGATGTTGTCCAGAATACCCTCCTTTCCCTTTGGGGCTTGGATTCTGTTCTCCATACTAGGTTTCTTTCTATTTACCCTTGAAAAGGCCAGAAAGAGAATCTTCTATAACCTCTTAACCACTGTCACCCTCCCAACTCCATATCAGCTTCATCACATAAATGAAAATTCCCCACCAGATGGTCCATTGCTTAGTTATCCCCTTGCTTCTTCCCCCAGTTCAGACTTGGAAAATTAGTTTATGCAGGCAGTAGCCAGCCCTTTGTCTACAAATTTTCCATGTGAAGGGACTACTATTAGTGCTAAACTACCCTTCACTGTATGAACTCTACCCCAGACACAGCAATTGTGCTCACCAGGTCCTGTTCTTACCTCAATACAGCAGGGAAGGCAAATGGTGCCCTCATTCAAAACAGAGTTTGCAGTCTGACACAGAGTCTCCAGTCTTAAAGTGGATTCATGAACTGTACATACATATGTCCCCCATAGTGTTAGTGTGTCCTAAAGAAACATAACAGAAAAAAAGACCAAGATATCTAGGGACTCAGGTAGGTCAGCTAGCATTTCTTACTCAGTGAAGCAGCAAAACTGTTGCAATAATAGACCCCATTTATGTCCCAGGACCTATGTAAAAAGGGAGAGAGGGGGATGAGAACAGGGAGGCTGAAAATCACTCTAAACTATAGGTCCCATACTACAAAACAACAGTCTCAGCTAATCTGCATGTGAATTGCACTCAAAAGTAGTACAGGATAAACATTACCAAAACCTCCACCCACCTCTAGGGAAATATGGGAGAGACATGTCTGAGCACAATTATTAAGAAACAGTTTCCATGCATCAGTATCATGAACACAGAGAAAGAAGCAACAGAAACACATCTTAATTAGAAAAGCCATAGCATACCATTCTGTACAGCCCAGGTGGTCAGTATAACACACTCAGAAACAATTAATCTCTGTATGGGATGACAATAATCCAATTCTCCATATACTCAGGCTTGCTCTCTACCATAGTCACAGTGACACTTATATGGGAAGAATATAACATTTTGGGATGTTGCATGTCACATTACATAGCCAGTTTCACACAGTCATATTTAAGTGACATTCCATATGTTGTCAGTAATAAAACAATTTAAGTAAGGAATACAATTTGGCAGTGTTACAGGCCAATCACTGCATATGACCTTGACTTGACAGACTATCTGAACAGCTACTCTATGACATGATGGCACCCTTCAACAATCACACATCAAAACACAGCACGTTTACAGACAGTGCAGGGGAAATTCCCAGCCAGTCGGAGCAGCTGTCACCTCAGCGGGTGAATGCCACTTAGAATCATAGAAAATGAAGGCTGGAAGGGACCTCAGGAGGTCATCTAGTCCAACCCCCTGCTCAAAGCAGGACCACCCCCAGCTAGATCATCCCAGCCAAGACTGTCTAGCTGGGTCTTAAAAGCCTCCAAGGATGGAGATTCCACAACCTCTCTGGGTAACTTGTTCCAGTGTTGTACTAACCTTGTCATGAGAAAAATTGTCCTAATATCCAATCTAAACTTCCCTTGCCACAACTTGAGACCAGTGCTCCTTGTTCTGTCATCTGCCACCACTGAGAACAGTTCAGCGCCATCCTCTTTGGAACCACCCACCAGGTATTTGAAAGCTGCTATTAAATCTCCTCTCAGTCTTCTCTCCATCAGACAAAATAAGTCCAATTCCCCCAGCCTTTCCTCAGAAGTCATGTGCCTCAGCCCCTAACCATTTGTGTTACTCTCTGCTGGACTCTCTCTAATTTGTCCACATCCTTTCTGCAGCGGAGGGCCCAAAACTAGACACAGTACTCTAGATGTGGCTTTACTAGTGCCAAACAGAGGGGAAGAATCACTATTGACTCTGACAAATAACTACCTGATGCCCAGATGATCATGTGAACCCTACACTAAAACCACTAAAAGGACATATTTCCTTACAGAATGCGTATGTAACACTGGAGCTCAATGCCACAAGAGATAACTGTGTTCATGGGATTTGTGGGATTGTGAAAAGGATTAGATATTTGTAGAAACAGTTATAGTGGAGCTAAATCCTTTTGCTTTATAAAATACAACCACTGACAAGATTAAGAAAACACTTCCCCTTTGGGGATCCTGTTATGTAATTGATGACTACAGGTGTTCTCATACCTTCTTGGGAGCATCCAGTACTGGAACTGTCAGCAATGGAACTACAGACTTAGCCCCCGCCTCCAAGGGCACCATGTTTTGATTGAAACACACTGTGCTGGGAAGCTGAGGAAACAATAGGTGCACCATGATGATGCTTGAAAAATATGAGCAATGCCCTGGTGCACATTAGCACAGTTAGGGCCTGTGACACAGGTGTGTTTTCACAGCCTAACCCTTTGTACATTAAGTTACATGTTTCAAATTCTTATTTTTATGATGCTGTTGGTCATATTGGCAGGCAGAGGCTCAAACTGCTGCCAAGAGTATGGTTATTGTGCTGTCACCTCTCATCTCCACAGTTCAGAATATTTTTGCCCATCTTATAAAAAAAGAGCTCACAATGACCTTATATTTCTCCACCCGCAGCTGACACTGCCTGATTTACGAGTGATGCATTGCTCATGTTTTCCATCTGTAACCTCTCCATGCTTCATTGATATACAGCAACCACCCTGCCCCACCCATATTCTGCAATTCTGCTAAAAATCAGATACCTAGTTGTGTGCATCACCCTTAGCAATGAGCTAATTCAAACGTACAGCATACGCCAATCCACAATGTTGAATGTTTGACAAATGATTGACAGCTATGATGAAAATTACCCATGGTATTCTGCAACGTCATTGCCATGTAGAACACTACACGGTATTATAATGTATGTGATATTACATAAGGCTTCGTTTGTTAGTTTTATAACTGATTGACAAGGTTTTTGTGATAAGTTTAAGGAAGAACAAGACCGTAGGCCAGAACCAGCATGGGTTCAGCACACAGGGCTGGTCTACAGGTTCAATTCCACGTGCTGGATCTGGCTGTAGCCCCACTCAGTGTGCTGTATCCAGGATGGTGTCATCTGGCCCACAGGGCTTTCCACAGGGTGGGCAATTTGGCAGTAGCAGACTAGTGGCTGAGCAGTGCAGAGCTGCCAATGCTCCCCCACCAACAAATTTCTAGCCTTGTGGAAAGCCCTGTGGGCTGGATGTCATAGCCCCATGGGCCAGAGTCAGTCTGCAGGCTGGAGGCTGAGCACTGCTGATTTAAACAAAGTTTGTTTGCCCCATCTGTGAAACAAGGGCAGTAGTACTTGCCCACTTCTGTAAATTGCTTCCATATTTTCAGAAGAAAGAGGCTATGCAAGTGCAAAATACTGGTATCACTATACTGCAAGCAGAGAACAGGTTGTAGTGTGTACTGTATATTGTGTGGCTGCACATATATCCTAGTTGTAGATGAAGTTGGTGGGGAGAACCTGGAACCTATGCTGCCAGTACATTAAAAATATCTAGTTTTGTGACCCCTGCCCCACCATATGTCTGTTGCAATACACACAACATGAAGGACGTGACAGTTTTTGCATGCCACGTTCTTAACTGTGGCACAAGGCACTCTTGCAAAATAATTTAATGTATTAGGCAGGTGACTAGAATATGAATACAGAATATGGCCGCTGATTGGAAGGGTGGAGACCTGGGCTATTTCTCTGGCTTTGCTACTGGTTTGGCAATGCCTTAAATCTCTCTGTACACCTGGACAAAGGATGCAAAGAAGATAATAATGGGAAAATTTTACCCAATGTGAGTAAAGGGCTCCTATTTTGCATGGTCCCTTGCAATGTCTTCTTTTGTCTAGTCATGATAGGAGGGTATGAGGCATCTTGTAGCTCTCAGAATTGTATTTCCCAGCTTTATTTGCAGCTTACCTTATTTTCCACTGTCTCCCAGTTTGGCTCTGCAGGTGTTCTGGCAGAGCAGGCTGCAGACCAAAGAAGAAATGTGCACAGACCATGATCCTACTGTGATCATCTCACTCTCACTTTGCACAGACAACTGTGACATAAACAGTTTTTGAGGAATGCAATAGCAGAACCGAGGAATGCATCATAACTGCTGACATGGAAAGCTGTCTGTTGATAGAACAACACTTGCAGCTTAGTTGTTCCATCAACATCCTGCCAGCTAAACAGAGTTCTTTGAAGATACTGAGATATAGGACCAATCCAATATATAACTTGTCTGGTTACAGAACTGATGAGCTAGCCAAATCAAAGTGTAAACTCATTCAGTGCAATAGGCAGGCAGTCACAGCAGATGTCATATCTATGTTATGGGAGGCATACACAGCTCTGGTTTAAACACCTTCGTTCTTAAGTCCCATAGGTTCTACAGTTTTTGCCATGCTTCCAGCATCACCTACAGCTGACAGATACCTTTCCAACCAGATCCACAACATTTGTATGCTCAAGATCCTTTAAGGACGATTCCTTAAATTTTACTTCTCCTACTTTAGCCTCAGTCAGTTCGGTCAATGGATAGTTAACTGAAATGCTGACAAACACTAATGAACCAACACATCTCTGATGTACTCCAGATTTTAATTGATCCATAAGTCTCAATATTCATCTTTACATGACTAACTCTATTATAAGAAGATTCCCACAGTAAGCATACCAGTTGTTGGTGTAGCAGTAAAAACAGTGCTACTCAACATTAACCACAATAAAACATAATTTTATAGGGCCTCCTTTTTCCATTCTAATCAGACTATAAAAGCAATTTGAGAAACAATAAATATGTAAAAAGAAAATAACCACTGACCGTAAAATTTTTATTTAATTTCCATTGTTACCAGATTAGCTATTTGCTTTTGACTCAAAAAAGTAGAAAACGCTCTGGCTATACCAATGGACAAACATTCAGAATCTGATCAACATACATTATGGAATCATTATTACTCTCACAAGATCCTTATAATTTAAGCATACAATAATCCTTGTGATGTGAGGGACAGTAGGGAAGGGAGCAAATGACATTACATCCATTAATTAAAAAAGGCATTTTTTACTGATCTGCCATGTGATTGTAATACCCACTGTACTCAGTACAACAGAACATGGAAATTAATCCATCACAGAATCATATGTATGTGCAGCAGCTCTGACAGTTTGGATGACATCCAAAGGCACGGTTTTGATTTTTACCTGATGTCCCTATACAGCACATTTGCTTAGGGTATGCTAATATCCCATTGCACAGCCATCTCCTCGGGGATCCGATCCTGCCCAAAGGATGTTTTGGAAGCTCTTGGAAGACAAAGAGCCCGAAGACTTCCACCAATCTCCTTTAGTGATAATCTGACCACGGCCAAACAGGCTCCTGTCATGCCCACTTACGGGCCAGTGGCTGCAGTGACCTCTGGCTCTCAAGTCTTCTGCAACTGCTTGGGGGATACCATCTTCAAGTGACAGATGCCATTTGCTTTCTGTTAAAGAAAAGAATGCTCACTGACATCTGCTGAAAGAGGATATTCCAAGGGTAATTCAATACTCTTCAGTCTAGCCCCAACATTTCTTTGACAATAAGAACCTGAAGAGAACCAAATCATTGTGGCCCTGAACCTTATCCCAGGCCTCAGATTTTGCTTGGCAGCAAGAACTGAAGGCAAACTCTTCCAGGAAGGCAGAGGGCTAGAATATGACAAGTTCTGCATGAAGAGGAAGTAATGGGGAAAGAAGCAAGGCATCAGCCTTCCCTTAAACACCAGCAGGGAGGCAGGCACGCTTCCAGCCCCTGCATGCTCTAGCTACCAAGAGAAAGGAAACACTGCCTGTGGTGAAGGGCTCCTCAAAGAGGTGAAGGCAGAACTAAGGAACTAATCCTTCTCTTTCACATTGCTGGTGCACTGAAGCTGGTACTGGGAGACTCAGAGACTCCAGCTTCCAAGAGGAGAAGAGGCCACCTTTGAGAACATGCTGTTGTGTGTCAGCAGTGGCAGCTGAGTCAGTTGCTTGCCTGTGTAGATACAAAATGCCTCTGAAACTGCTTTTAGTGAAGCAGACTGCCAATGCCAACCCTCCAAAGACTAACTTTTGCTCCACAATGAAGTTATAATGCTGTTACTGTTTTCATCAAGAGCTGTATAGGCACATAAAAAAGAGCTGAATTTTATATTTAGGGTAAAGACTGGAACAAAATTTGTCACCTGTACAATACATGAGCTGGTATGGAAACCAACCACTGAGGAACGAAACAAATGCCCTCTAGAGATATTCCAACTGCAAAAACACATGGCCCATTCTCACTGTATTTAATGATGGGATGTTATAACCACCATGCTGATTGATTAGAATCTCATGCTTGGGTTACTGGATACACTAAACATGATGCAAGAAGTAACAGCCAGTCATATCTTTGCAAGATCCCACTCCACACAAAATATTGATTTTCTTTCCAGATATTTCTAGCAAATCTCTCTCTCTCTCAGACTTTGCTTCCATTGTCCAGTTACCTTACATAAGTAACACCTGGGTATGAGCACTTGGTTAATGTAGCCCTGCTGCAAGTGTTCCCACAAAAAAGCTACCAACATCACTTTGTCCTTACTGTTTCTGTTGTGTACTTGAAATTTCATTCTATGTGCTCTAAAATTATTTCCCAATCAACTGTGCTCATTGCAGGAGAACTTGTTTGTTCTTTAGAGGAAACTACAGAAAAAGCAATGGTGGACTATCAGCACTTGGGTGATTTAACTAGCAACCTTAAAACAAAGCTAACTTGAAGTTCTGGTTCTAACCCAATTCCCAAACTAGGTAAACTATCCAGGCTTAAAATACCTCTACCCCCAAGGAAGAGCTTTTCTATATCGATGATGGTAATCTGAAAGTTAACTGTGAGGGGAAAACATACCCTCAGAAACCAGGTGGGACTGACTCCAAGGCACTGCAGTGTGCCAAATTAACAACCATATTGTAGCATAGAAAGCAATACTTCCTTGTTCAGAATCATTACATACTAAATAGCATCTCCATATCATCTCATAAACTACAAAGTGCTGGAGACAGCCAACATTGACAGCATAGAGTATGGTGTTAACTGTTATTAGACAGCAGAGTAAGAGCTTCCACTGTAAGAGCCATTAATCTAACCAGGCAGAGTAACTGCATAACAAAAAAATGGCCCCAAACTTTTGAACTAAAAGAAACATCAATATTTGTAACTTAAGCCATTTACTTTGTGAATTATGCTGTTTAAAAGTCATACCTTCTCTGGAATAATCCACAGAAAACCGGGATGCATCTAAGGCTTGTTGAGGGTCCATGCCAAACTCCAGCATATTGAGCAGCACCTTTAGAAAGCACAAATAAGTAAAATGTTAGAGCATACCAAGCAGCATCTAAAAATATGTATCATAAGCTTTCAACATCACAGGAAGACTGCTGATCTGCAAAAAAGCTTCACTGTCCTGGCAGAAATCACATTTTTTCCTCAAGAGGTTTCTATATTGGATAAAAAATATTAGCAACCAGACAGTAGGAACTTGGGCAGTAGGAACCAGCAGCACACTTATAAGCTGGGAAGCTCCTTGAGAGTATGGTGGCAGAAAGAGATCTTGGAGTCATTATCAACTCCAAGATGAACATGGGCCAACAATGCGAGGTCATGGTCAGTAGGGCTAACCATACCCTGTCGTGCATCCACAGATGCATCTCAAGCAGGGCCTCCCCTCTGTGCGACACTGGTCAGGCCGCAGCTGGAGTAGTGTGTCCAGTTCTGGGCCCCGCACTTCAGGAGGGATGTGGACAGCACTGAGAGGGTCCAAAGAAGGGCCACCCACATGATCCAGGGACAGCAGGGCAGACCCTATGAAGAGCGGCTATGGGACGTTAACCTATTCAGCCTTCACAACAGAAGGCTGAGGGGGGACCTGGTGGCTGTCTATAAACTCACTAGGGGGGACCAGTAGGGTTTGGGAGAGACCTTGTTCCCCCGAACAACCCCCAGGGTAATAAGGAATAAATCGCCACAAGTTGTTAGAGAGTAGGTTTAGACTAGCCATCCAAAGGCACTACTTCACAGTCAGGGCAGCCAGGATCTGGAACCAACTTCCAAGGGAAGTGGTGATGGCTTCTACCCTGGGGGTCTTTAAGAGGAGGCTTGACGTCTACCTGGCTGGTGTCATTTAAGCCCGGTTTTTCTCCTGCCCAGGGCAGGAGGTTGGACTAGAAGATCTACAAGGTCCCTTCCGACCCTACTTCTATGAATCTATGACAGTAAATAGACTGAGGATAACAAAAGAATGGATGCTGAAATAGCAGAATGTTACTACCATGTCCGATGTCATATGACATTTTCTTTATCATCTGTCCATGCCACGTGCGTAAAATGTCCATGCCGAAATGGAAACTGGCCAGTTGCTGACAAAATCAGCAATGAGATAAAACGCAAAGCAAAAATCACTTCTCTTTTGGCCTACAGATTTGCATTGCCTGTCCTGAGGATTCTGAAATAAAAAGACCTCAGAGCACTATGTTGCTTCTAAGGAACTGTAATATATGCCAAAAGGCTCAGATTACCTGAACATGTCCCTGAGGCTGCATTAAGCCACCCATTACTCCAAAGGAGCACAAGAGATCCTCAGTGTCAGCAGCTGTAGCTAGAGCAGGAATGATAGTGTGGTATGGCCGTTTTCCTGGTGCTAGACAGTTTGGGTGGCCAGGAAACAGGGAAAAACCAGCTCCTCTATTCTGAAAATAAACACAGATATTAAGTTAATAAAATCCTTGAGCCTGAAGTAATACTGCGTAATAGTCAGGAACTTTTCAAGATATTGACCAATTAGCTATTGATTGATATGGCATTTCCGATTGATATAGGGAGCTTGGGAAAAGCAAAAACAGCTCATAAAAGACATTCCTACATGAGAAGGGGAGCATTATTGCATATATTCAAGTAGGGAGGCAATGGGGATGTGCTTAAACCCACACACATGTAGGGAAAATCCCTGTATAAATATGCTTATATCCAAGAGGCACCCTTAGGGAAGATTCCTGCACATCAGTAAGGTCATGCTCAGGTACACTCCTCTCATACTGTGGTACTGCCAACCACTCTCCAGACAGCAGCACGTAGCAACTGTCACTGGACATTTATGACTCTGAAGCATGAGATCCATTTCTGGGCCATGTACAGGCATTGTTTCTACCAGGAGATTCTGCTTTCCCAGTAGAAGTTATGAGTGTACAAGCATTTATTCAATTTCTCCTAGGGAAACATACCCCTTCCAGGAGAAAATCTTCCAGGTGAGAAATTACCACCAACGCAAATGAACGCCTATTCGTGCCCTATACAAGAATCCATTTTAGTCTTCCTTCAAATAGGTATTAGCAATGCAGCTGCCACATATAAAAATTGACCACACATCCACATACAAAGCAACATTAAAATGTAGCTACATTTACAAGCCAAGGCAAACATGGACTCAAAGACCTGCTACACAGTATTTACTTAATAATCATATCATATATTGTGCTCCAACAGTGGAAGTGACAATGTGTCTGAGTAAAGTAGAATATGAATAGAATGAAGCATGTTTAGAGGGACTGCTTCATTCTCCTGTGAGATTTCATACTGCTGCTACACTATTGGAGCATCCTCTCTACCTGGCATGTTGTCAGTAGCTGAATTGTCCAGACATTTATCAGCCCTGTGATGGGTGCTGTGCAATGGTATCCTGATCACCACATTCATGAACTCAGACTGGCATAGGGCCCTCCTGACCTTCATCAATTACTCCATAAACCTGTACATGTGTGTACACCCTTTTAAAAGTGCAGGGTATATCTGCTTGCTCATGTTGCAGAAATACTTCAGTTAGATGTTGATTTGTATCCCCTTTTGGTGAATATTCCCTCCTGGAACATTAATAGAACAGAAAAATCAGGGTTGGAAGGGACCTCAGGAGGTCATCTAGTCCAACCCCTGGCTCAAATCAGGACCATTCCCAGCTAGATCATCCCACCCAATGCTTTGTCTAGCTGGGTCTTAAAAACCTCCAAGGATGGAGACTCCACAACTTCTCTGGGTAACCTGTTCCACTGCTTTACTACCCTCCTAGCAAGAGACTTTTTCCTAATATCTAATCTAAACTTCCCTTTCTGCAACTTGAGACCGTTGCTCCTTAGTTCTGTTATCTGCCACCACTGAAAACAGTCTAGCTCCATCCTCTCTGGAACAACCCTTCAGGTAGTTCTATTAAGGAAGACTGCTATTAAATCCCCCCTTAGTCGCCTCTTCTCCGGACTAAATAAGCCCAGTTCCCTTACCTTCTTCTCATCAGTCATGTCCCCCAGCCCCCTAACCATTTTTGCTGCCCTCTGCTGGATTGTCTCCAATTTGTCCACATCCTTTCTGTAGCGGGGGCCCAAAACTGAACACAACACTCCAGATATAGCCTCACTAGTGCTGAAGAGAGTAGAAGAATCACTTCCCTCAATCTGCTGGCAATGCTCCTAATAATGCAGCCCAGTATGCTGTTAGCCTTCTTTGCAACAAGGGCACACTGCTGACTCATTTTCAATTTACTGTCCACTGTAACCCCCAGGTGCTTTTCTGCAAAATTGCTGCTTAGCCAATCGGTCCCCAGCCTGTACTAATGCATGTGACTGCTGCATCCTAAGTGCAGGACTTTGCACTTGCCCTTACTGAACCTCATGAGATTTCTTTTGGTCCAGTCCTCCAACTTGTTGAGGTCTCACAAAATTCTATCCCCACCCTTCAGCATATCCACTCCTCCCCACAGCTTGGTATCATCCACAAATCTGCTAAGGGTGCATTCCATTCCAGCTTCCAGGCCACTGAAGAACCAGGGGACCAGCCCCTCGGGCACTCCACTTGATACCAGCTGCTATCAAGCCATTGACTTCTACCCTCTGAGCCCAATTATCCAGCCTGTTTTCTATCCACCTTATAGTCCATTCATCCAACCTGTACTTCCTCAGCTTGCTTGAGAGAATGTTGTTGAAACTGATATAAAAAACCTTGCTGAAGTCGTGGTATATCATGTCCACTGGTCTCCCTGCATCCACAGAGCCAGTCATCCCATCATAGAAGGCAATCAGGTTGGCCAGGCACGACTTGCCGTTTGGTGAATCCATGCTGCCTCTTCTTAATCACCTTCTCCTCCAAGTGCTTAGAAATGGATTGCTTGAGGACCTGGTCCATAATTTTTCCAGGGACTGAAGTGAGGCTGACTGGTCTGTAGTTTCCTGGATCCTCCTCTTTTCCTTTCTTAACTATGGCCACTATATTTTTCCCTTTTCCAGTCATCCAGGACATCTCCCAATGGCCATGAGTTTTCAAAGATGATGGCCAGCAGCTCTGCAGTCACACTGGCCCAGCTCCCTCAACACACCTGGGTGCAGCCCATTCTGCTTCATGGACTTGTACATGTCCAGCTTTTCTAAATATTCCCTAACCTGTTCTTTTGCCACTGTTGGCTGCTCACCTCCTCCCCAAACTGTGCTACCAGGTGTAGTGGTCTGGGAACTGATCTTCCCGGTTAAGACAATAAAATAGTCTTATTTTATTTTTATTTCTTCCTGACTCAACCTACCCCTACTTTGTTTATAATTCCTTTCCCCCTGTGGATATTCTATTCAGGTGTCTTCCAATTTCACATTTGCTCACCTCTTTGTATCTGTCCACCTGTTGCTGGACCTTTTCTACAACCTGAAGCTGGCTTGAAAACATCATACCAGTACTTTGTGGTACTTTTGATTGCTCCCTTCCCATCAAAATGGTTCCCTGTTTTCTTTCACTTGCTATCTTTGTGCAGCAGCTGCAACATTTGGTGACTTTTTTCACCAGGCATTCCTAAGGATCTCTTCCATAGCCAAGAGAATGAACATGGCATTATGAACATCACACATCTGTGTTTGGTATGACAAGTCTATCATTGCATACTACAGCGTGGACAGAAAACAAAGCAAACAGTAGAATTATCACACCTCAAAGAAATAAAACAGAAAAATACAGATTATCTAAATTGATGCAAAGAAAGGAAAGAAAGAAGACATACATACAACAGTTAGTGCCACTTATTTAGATTCAAGAAAGCAGACAGGGACTATGCCCAGCAACAAGCGCATTAGAAATTTTCATTGTCTAAGCGACTTGAGTGCTTATGTCCCACTTTCAGATGCATGCTTAGACAATAACGTCTCCTTCACAAGTAACGGGCTTGAAACTCTTCAGTAATTCAAGTTGTTTTTAAAATATGCTTTTTGAAAAAAAAGTCTCCTTTCAAGTCTAGATACATTTATTTTTCATTTTTAAATATGACATTGCCAGTTTCTATTATTCAAGGAAAAATCTAACCATTCTTGATCAAAGATCAAATCACACATTTAGAAAAGTGGATGTCAATGTTCCTACAACAAATTCTCAAAAAAGTTAACTCCCCCCCTAGGTACAGAACAATTTTCATCTTTCATTAGTTTTGGCAATATTCACTTCAATGTATTCATACATTTATAATTCAGAATGTCCAAATTATCTTAATTATCTTTCTGTAAACTATAATAAAAGTGGCTGTTCAAAATATTTTTCTTAAAGCAATGTACGTTAGAGATTTTGCATCAAATTATTCTTTACAAGGAAACTGTCTTATCTATTCTTTTTCCACTTATTTTAATATTGAATCTGTGACTAGCACAAGTTAGTGATTTTTTTTTTTATATGGGGAGATTCAATTTGAAAATACTGCATTTGAAAGGGTTTTTTTTTGCAATTTGTATATGTTACTATTTGTACATTGTAATAAACGGACAAAAATAATGTATTCTCACTACCCAAGGAATAAATCAAGTGAGAATATACTTCAATGTATATGTAGGAAAGTATTGGATAAGTTACAAGGGTATTTTACTTCTGTTATTAAACTGGCAGGATACTTCAATATGGTGACAATGACTCACCAGTTGTAAATCCAAATAAATATCTCCAGTAAATAAACGATGGCAGTGATCTGAAGGTTGTAGCTTATCGTTATCTAATAAATAAAATTAACACAGTTCTCATTTTTAGATAACAGACTGATTTTTGCACAAGTGTAGCCCTGCAGCAGGTGCAGGTTATTGGCAGGGGCTATCCAAATAGGAAAAAAGCAGAGAGTCTCTGTAAAGGATTCCTTATTTTCTGCTCACTTTGACCAACAGGGCTAAAGTAGAAGCACTCCCCTCAAGGACTATTTCAACTTTACTACCTCACCTGAAGAGGGTGAGGGCCCAGACTTGTAGCATAATAGCCAGAAAGGACAAGTTAGAGGAAGCAGCAAAAGACTAGGAGACTTTAGTAAAGTAATAAAATAAATATTCAACATACCCCTTGAGGGCCTAAAGAGAGCTAGAGTTCAAGTACAGTTCAGAACTAAATGTTCACATGTTGTTCCAAACTATCCACGCCTGCTGAATCTACAAAAGTGAGTTGGAAGTTTCTATAGAGGATTTCTTGTGATCCTTCCTGTATTTCCTCTGCCAATACTTGCTTAAAATACCAAGAGAAATGTCTGAGTGTTCAGATTTCATAGTTTGGTTCATGGCCCATCATTAATCCAAACAGTTAAGAAGCACATATGTAAGAGTTGGTTTAAACTGGGTTCTTAAAGTAAGTGAAAGTTTGGGCCACAAAAGTTTACCAGTCCCCCAACAGATCCATTGAAAGAACCTAAACTGTTTCTCTTCTCCTCTGTGTTCAAGAGTTTAACAATCAAAACATGCTTTGATATTTTAGGTTTAGATTAAATGTTTAGTATTTATATTAATAAATAGATTGTTCTGATGTTAAACAAATGAATGGCAAGTAGTTTACTTGTTTATGTTACAGGTATAAAATATAGCTAACACAGAAATCCCCACAATTTCTCCCCAAACCTTTCTTTACTCTTAATGATAGATACTTTATCTTTTAGTTTGTCGCTATGTGTAGCAATCTTATACGTGGAATGTCCACCTGCACAGATGTTGCTTTACTGAAGCAGTTGCTTCTAAATAAACACTGTAAAAGCTGTGGAAAACAACACTTTTCTTCTCAAATTTAAGAAAAAATAGGTGCAGTACAAGCAAATTATAACAAACTGTATGGAACCATGGGGTTTACTATAATAGGGTTGCTCAATTTGCTCCATAATAATGAAAAAAAATCACTTTCTGTTGTTGGGATTCATAAAGGGGGAGCTTATTTTAAAGATGCTGCACAGCTTTAGCATCTTTGGGAAAAATTTGGAGCTGGTGTCACAAGTGAAACTTCATCAATTTCATCAGCTCTAAATTTAACTTTCATCAGCTCTAAATTTAACTTTATCAACTTTGTTGGGCCAACTTTGTTGAGATGAGGAGATTAGTGGGAGAGGCACTGGGGTCCTTGAGGGCAGAGGAACTCAGTGTCCAGGACGAGTGGACGTTCCTTAAGGAGACGATACTCACGGCCCAAGGGGTGTCCATCCCGACAAGAAGCAAGGGGGGCAGGAGTGTCCGGAAGCCCCCCTGGCTCACCAAGGGCGTCCGGGACTGCCTGCTTGCCAAAAAGGCGGCGTACGCCCGGTGGAAGGGGGGTGAAATCTCCAAAGAGGAGTATACCTACTCAGCTCGGGCCTGTAGGCGAGCTGTTAGGAAGGCCAAGGCGGACATG